AAATTCTGACTGACTTAATCGATCTGAACGCTTCCTTTTTATTTTGTTCTGGAAGTAGGAATCGGCTCCAAACGGCTAGGCACGAAAAGATATTTTGCGTGAATTTGCTACAGTTTGAGCCAATGAAAAGCCTAGTTCACTGGAACTAGGGTGTTGATTGGTTAATAGGTAATATTGTGGTAGAGTGTATTATTCCGGAGGGGTGAAAAGGTATGTATGGACTATTTCATCAGGCTGACTATGAAGGAATGATGTTAGAGCTGTGAAATCTTGCATGTATTAATTTCAACTGTTCTTATTAAAAAACACATTATTTGTTTCCAAATAAACTGACATCTGACTCTTCAAAGAAGACTTTACATGTAACAACTAGCGACTTCTCTTGAAAAACATTGTCGTGTTACCTGCAGAAAATGGATTTAGCCCGCAGAGACATTCATGCTGACATGATTGCTACTCTAAGGGATGACGCTCCAGCTTTATCAATAATGCAAAGTTGGGCAGCTGAATTTAGAAGAAGGGAATGTCTTTAAGATGACCCAAGGTCTGAATATCCTGCAACTGTTACCATCAAGGAAAACATTGATCATGTTCACTATAAGGTGATGGATGACAGGGGAATGATTATAAATCAATTAGCCAATGCTATTAGTATACCCTGAGAGAGAGTTGAGAATATTCTGCACAATGAATTTTTTCTCTTAAGTTAATTTCCTCTAACTGTAGACAAAAAATTTCTTATAAGATTACTCCTATATTTCTATTCTCAAGTTTTATTTTATATATCAACTATTCTTGTACTTCTAAGGTTGACTTTTGTATTGCAATACTTAACTTACAGTTAACTCACCAGTTATTACTCTTATCAGCATTTCTTGGTTCATTACTTCTTCTCCAGATGTTTTAAGTTTGGATTGGTTATTCATATCAGGCTATAAATAAGCAAGCATAAATTTATACAAGAATTTTTTGAGATGGTGAATTATCATTATAACAGACATTTTTATTTGGACTAGTATACTCGTCAGGATTTTCTTTAGGTATTTATTGTTGTAGTCAGTAAAATTTATAACACTGACATTTTTTCCTATTTTATTCTGATACATAAAAGAAACTAGTGTCCACTGTCCATCGTTCAAAAATGCTTCAATATTCAGTACTATTTGAATGGGATAATTAAGATCTTTGGTAGCATGAAGCCAATAAATGATTGTTTAATAGCCATAAAAATAATTTTTAGTATGAATCTCATCACAAACAGTGTTATTAATTATTTTTTGCTAACTTATATTTAAAGTAAGTTTTTAGCATCCTGTTACCACTTTTTTACTAATCTCAATTTTTGTGCAAAAAGTGGATCACAGAGCTTCATATATATTTTCAGAAAATATCAACTTCTGATTGGTCACTTAATATTTAAATCATGCCCAAATATCAATGTCAATTCCTGTGCAAAAAGCGGATCACAGAGCTCATCAAGCTTCATACATATTTTCAGGAAATCTCAACTTCTGATTGGTCACTTAATATCTAAATCATGTCCAAATAACATTGACCTAGTTCTTGACCTGACAAAAAATAATTCCGCCAAAATATGTCAATGCCTTTTTCGAGCCGTGATTAAATTAATTATTAATTAAAACAAGTTAATTCTCTCTCTCTAACTTGATTTCATTCACCTACAAAAATGTAGCCTTAAAGGAAACTATGTTCCGATCCCAGTTCGGATAGATGCTGAAAACATATTTACATACGCACACATACACGTATGTACGAAACTTTCCAAACTTAATTACAAACATTATGGAACACTCACTCCTTCAACTCTCCTAAAGCTAAAAGTTTACTCAACATATTCTTAGCTTTATAATTCTTTTAGCTCTCTAACAGTGAACATTTTGAGCGGCAAGTTCATTCAACTTTTGTGAGCTCAGATAAAAATATTTCAATTTCATTAGTAAAATGCTTGTGTACATCATTATACAAATATAAATGTTGTTGTTATAAAACAGTTTTGTGTTAATTCTTGTTGTTTCATATTTTGTGGTATTTTGTGTTACATATAAATTGAGAGGTCATATCAACTAACAGTCTTCTACAAATAGTAACCCCGATGTTTCAAAAGGAATAAGAATAAAACGGGCTTCTACAAGTTTTAAAAAATGCAATGTCAAATTTTTTAAAAAGGTTATTTGCTTTTTCATTTTTATTTTTAAAAAAAAATTAGATTAATTAGCAAATTTAATCTCTTCTCCTTTTTTCCATCTTTATTTTACGTATATTTTTTATAAATACTAAAAAAAATGAACTCCAGACAAAATTAAAGGAAATATTTTATACTATATTTTTTATTCATAAATTGTTTTTTATTTTAGTCTGAATCTGTTTAATGTATTTTGCATTAACACTTTCAATTGTTTTAAAATATACTAGATTCTTGTCATGTAATCAATGATAATTACTTTAAAAAGAAAAAAATGACTGCTTATTATTTTGTAGGAGTTGCTATGTTTTTCCACGCCCACATTTTATTCGCCTATGATTGGCTAATAAATCACTACTACTTTTATATAAGACAATTTAGCCATCGCAGTCGTTTCTTTGAATCCTTCGGTTTTGAGTTTGCTTGCCTGTTCTGTTAGTACGAGTGTAGTGATTGGTTAATTTTTAACCAATCGCGTATTTTTAATGCAGGATTAAGTTTCCCCGCGTTTCCGTGGGAGCCTACCCTTGTTTCTTAAAAGGGGAGACTTTTCACAAGTCGTCAGTAAGATCTCAGTCGTCAGCACAAATCCACGATCTTACTCGTCGCATTTCAAACGCACACACAGAATTTCGTAATATAAACTTACATTTCTCTCTGTGACTTTACCAAATTCAATCAACCAGAACTCTGTTGATCCAAACCATTCTATAACACATTTTTAATTAATTGTATTCTTGTGTTATTTATTCTTAACATGCATACTTGCTCTAATATTGATTTCTGAACATTTTTCACTCATGAGAACTTTCTGCGAACAATTAATTACAAATCATTCTACAGTTAAAGGGGAACAACCTTTTTCCCTTAATCTATACCTTGAACACAATTTTATTACATGTTTGTTCTTGTATGTTATTTCAATATATATTTGATTAACAATTTGGAGTTATTGTTATTTACTTGAATCGTGTACGTTGGAAATATCGTCAATATAAATCGTAGTGCCGCCACAATTGAATCCCGCACGTGGTGGCCATTACAATTTCATGCAACTGAATTTGAAAAGAGAGCTTCCTTAGATTCAGGTATTGTTCATTTTCCAAGAAAATATATTTTAAGTTCGAGAAAGTAGTTTTCACAAATAAGATTTAAACCATTATAATTTTTTTTAATATCTTCTCACTCTGATGAATATTTTCTAATTTTTATAGTTTTTACTTATTTCATCTGCAGCATCTGACCATTGTTCAGCCAGTTCTTTTATTCAAACATAAAATAAAATTCAAGGTACAAGAAAGAAATTAACCAATTTTTAAGCAATTCTTCCAGTAAAGCAGTATCGAAAACTTATTTGATGATTTCAAAGTTAACTGTTATATTAGAACACCCCAAAATTAGATTAATTCCTCTTTTAAAAATCGCTTGTATGTCTAAAACTTTCAATTTCAATAAATTACAATTTTTACTTCTTAGTTATCTCCCTTGACTTCACACCGGTTGGAAAATATGGCGGCAGGCGACAAAGTTACGAATCCAAACAATCCGATTGTTTTCTTTGATATTACAATTGGCACCACAGTAAGTCGTTTTCACATCAATGATTACGTTTTAAGTGATACTAAGTTTACATAATAATCTTATCAGCTCTTGTGTGATTGTACGCATGAGAATGAAGTACATATTTTTCATTTCGTAAGTTGTTTTATGATCGTACCATACTATATTTTTTTGAGATTGTTGAAACTTCCTGCCGAATTTCGTTAGGGAATTCACGGTTAATCTAACTGGGCCTTCACTTAAATTAAATATTAATTTTAGGTTCCCGTCACAATTGTGGAACATCATGTGAACACCCAACATGGAGATGTCATTTTGAAACCAAACGTATGCAAAAAAGTCAAACGAAAAACACGCAAGCAGCGACAATAATCAACAACCTGAGTCAATTTTAAATACACTATGACGAGATAAAATATTTATGTAGGATTTAGGAATGAACGTGTTAAAAAATGACATACAAAAATAATGTAACCAGTTTTAATTGGATATGAATATCAGACAAAAAAAGTAAAACTCGGGTCAAACTCAAATTGCTTTTCTGAACATTTCAGTACCAGGCCAAGCAAAGCATTATTAACACTAACAGTTTTTTTAGCAAATTATATAATAATAGAGGAGGAATTTTTTTTGTGATATTCACACATTGTTGTTGTTGTTGTTTTTTTTTTTTTTAACCAATATCGCAAATTACAAAGATGTTGTTATGTCTTTTGTTTGTATGAAACATTTCTTCAAAGGGATCTGCTTTCATGGTCATTAAAGCTACTTAAATTCTGGATTGGTTTTTACTTTCACGTTTTTCGAATACGCTAGAATCTTTCTCTCTAAGATAAAAAGAAAGTGAACTAAAATACAAAACGGAAAGAAACCCGGTCTCTCATCTCCTCAGTTTTTTCTTGCCCACTGTCCTTTCAAAAACGCCATTAAGAATGCCTTTCTCCAAAACGCTGGTGTCGATATTGATCATTCTTTTACTTTGATAAATCAATCGCAACTGGTTAATGCGAGGTTCAGGTTCGAATCACACTGAAATCAACTCCGTTTATGGCTACAAACAATGCACGATGCCACACAAATTCCTTTCACAGCGGGCGAATGATGCTATCTCTCGGTATCTCCTTTACACTCTGGTGCTGGTATATCTTCAGCTTGAGAGAAAAATTATCAGCTAAAAAGATTCTGTTTTTTAATATTACTCCATCTCACATTGTAATGTAGACTGATATACCCATGGTCCACCAAATGTAGAATGCTACAATGGCACCAGGGTATTTGTGACTCTGAATTTGGATGTATTTGTTGTGGTTTTAGCAAACTACTTTAATCCAAGGGTGTCTTTCTCAATGGTATGCTCTACGTTTTTAAGTCACTAGGATGAAAAAAAATCATTTAGAATTTTTTAGTTTTAAAAAAAAAAAAAACTAATCCAAATTCTGAAAACAATGATCTTCCATATTTCTGATAAGGATTTTTTTTCTTTTTTGTCAATTTGATCCTGACATTCATTCATTGGTAACTTTGTTTTTTGTAGTGATTTCTGGATGTTGTCAATCAATACGTAATTTCATTCATCATCACTCAGACTCTTTCTGACTTTTTACACAACCTAATTAGGTAGGTTACTTTGACAAGTGGGTACATTTAACTCATCAATCCCTCCATGGGAGTTTATAATAGTTATTTTTTGTAATTATGAGATACTTACTTACTAAAAGCAAGGTTGAAGCGTTTTTTTTTTTTTTTTTACCTTATATTTTGAATTGCCAACTAAGGGAGTTAACAATGTCAACTTACACAGCCAACCAAGATTTTTTTCTATCAGTTCACTTGTGTTTCTCCTAGATATAATTCACCACTTTAGACACTCCCTGATATACACCTCAAAGCTATTGAATCTAGTCCTTTTATTCTTTTGCTTATTCCTCATGTGAATGCCTCTGTTTATGTTGCTCTTGTAGGTTCATGCTTCTGGTAGCAAATCCTACCATTAGTTTTCCTTCCTTCTCTTTAACATCATGGGTTGCTTTTATAGTTTTCTCCCCCTTCCCCTCAGTACACACACTTGAATCATCACCTCGTCAGATTTTAAGATAAAATTATATCAACAGGAATTCATGAAAACTTAAAACCTGTGAAATAGGCATTTATCAAAATACTGTTAGTCTCAACTTTATTATTATTTTAAAGATGCTCTAATGCATTTATCTGCTTCAGTAAAATGAAAAACCTTGTCAGTTTTTAATCTTTACTGCAATGGCCTGTATTCAGTGATTCACTTATGATTGTTATTGCAATATTTCGTTTCTCAAATATTTAACGATACAATAGAATTTCTAAAGGTATTTTATAGTGATGCAACTTGCAAGAAGTTTAATCAGTTATTAAATTAAGAATTATGATTCATCAGAAAATTTAAATTGGAAAACCATGAAATTTTCACAACTACTGATAGTTAATAGGTTATAATAGTCATTATCATTAAATTTTTCCAAACATGAAGTTCACTTTTAAATGTAAACCTGGTTTTCTTGACAATAGGCAAAGAGATTTGTAGCTTGGTTGAAATTAACTGATTTATTTTTCAAAAATATACTGCATATATTTACTGTCAGTAAATGAAACCATTTTTCCACTAAAAGAAAAATTACATAGATTCTTTTTTTTTTTTTTTTTTTCCTAAATTTAAAATTTTTTTAAAAATCATTTAGAACATTGTACTAGAAAAATAACTGTAAATAAATGATACATAAAGTTTAGCTGAACTGTTTCCACACAGAAATATTGATTTGTTTTTTATAAATATCAAATAAGGAAACTTATTTAGTAAAATTTGTTTCTATCTATTGACTTCTCTGCAATATAAACATGTAGGAAAAATTTTCATTATAGTTAGTATCTCTGTAAAGTTTAATAAAATTATCACAGACTTAAGTTTTTACAAAATACATTATATTTCTAAAACTTCTAATTATTAACATTTTCTGCCTAAAAATATTCATATTTCACTATTGGTATGTTTTCAGGAAGTTGGACGTATCAAATTTGAATTGTTTGCAGATGCTGTTCCTAGAACAGCAGAAAATTTTAGGTGAGTTCATTAAACTTGAAAACTGAGAAAAGCACATTGTTTCTTTGTAAAGCCAATATCAGTCTATTTAATTAAACTTCAATCTAAGACTGAAATATTGGGTTGATGTGAGATGAAACTGATAATTATACTTATTTAAATATATTGTGCCATGATTTTTCTCCAAGGATTGCAAGTAATTTTTCATTTGAATTAATATTTTTCAAGGAATTAGTAAGACAACACTGCACAAGAAAATTTCTTTTTTTTCTCTACTAATAAATAATGCATTACTAGAATAAATGGAGTATGCTGCTTCTGAACCTGATTCGGAAATGTTATATTATACGAGTTTTGTGAGAGATGTGATTAGTATATTAAGGCTCAAGATAAATGTTATATTAGTACTGTATGGGAAAATGTAATATATAAATTTTTATATATTTGTTATATGTTAGGCAAATTATTGAAATGAAAAACAATTACCAATGGGTTCACCTCTGAGTGGGGTTTTAGTTTGTCTTTTCTAAGATTTTCTTGAATCTGGTCCTTTCCTGAGTAGTTTAGGTAAACAACATATTTCTGACTAGCTTAAAAGCCGTCCAATAGGGTGGTATTTAAGCTAGCTCCTGCCAAGGGCTCTTGATTGGGCCTTCAGCTTGTTCAGGAGTTTGAAAGTCTCTGTATATTCTCAGCATTGGAAGCTCTCCTGGCTGTCGTTTGATCTGGGGGTTCATTTGCAGGGGTCTTTCTTTACCTCACTGTAGCCTTGGTTCTTTTGATTGCAATCTGGTCCTCTGTTGGCGGAGATTTCTTTTTGTGAGGCATACTGCTGCCATATGCAATAAGCAACAATAAACTACAGAATAACTCAAATTTGATCATTGCATTTAAGTATTGTATTAACACTCAAGCTTACCTTTTGAAAGGTTAAAGATAATTTGATGTATGTAGGTCCTTACTTTCCATACAAACAATTATTTTTATTTCATGGGTGACTTTCACTGGATTTCACAATTTCAGTTATTCCCAAATTTATTTCAAAATTATTAAAATTATGGTGCAAAAAGATTGTCGCAAAAAATTATGAAAAAAAATCACTGAAAATGATCGCAGTAATAAAAATGGAAATCCAAAATTTCTGTAACATGAGCTATTGAAAGTTAGAGAATTGTTCTTTTAATTGAAAAAGTGTGACACACTGATATTCACATTTATTATATAGATATATTGATGGCGCTCTATTAATATAACCCAACAAAACTACATTACCTGACCTTGTAGATAAACTAAATAAATTCAAACATACAATAGAATTTACTTACAAAACAGAAACAAATAACACATTACCTATTATGTTACACCATACTGATAATAACCTAAAACTATCACAAATCAATGATCACATGATTTTTATTCTCACCATAACAACAAAATAAAATCCAGAGTACTTATTGGGCTTTATTTAAGAGCACTCAGAATTTGTAGTTCCCAGAATCTACATTCTGAGAAGAAATACATTGAAAATACTTTTAAGCTCCTCCAATATCCTAATTATTTTATATTCAATGCAAAACAAAGCTTGTAAAATATTTCAAAATAGACAAATGAATCATTCAGGCAAATCCAACAAATTAAGATATTATTCTACTTATCAACTCTATCACAACTACAATTGAAAATAATTTATCTAAGTTTCATTTTAAAATTTGTTACAACTACTTCCAAAACAATAAGAGACTTAATACAAATCAAAATAATAAGCTGAAACCTGAAGGAAGAATTTACAATGAATACATAGGAGAAACCTCTAGAAATTTAAATAAAAAAATTATAGGAACCCAAAATAGATCCACTACAAAAACACACTGTTATTCACCGTAATGAGTTTGACTATAATTTGGATTAAAAGAAAATGCATCTTTATTAATAGAAAGCAATTTACTCAGTGTATAAAAAGTGTTTTGACCACTACGTCATCTACAGTAAATTTGTGTTCAGTTTCTTACAACATTTCACCTTTCTTGGCAGATCTTCTATTATTATAATGTGCGATACTTAATAATAAGTGATTTTAAAAAATACCAAAAAAAAACCATTTAAGAAAACTGAATGAAATTGGATTGACTACATACCCAGACACATCTAAAAGAGAAAAAAAAATGTAAAACTTTAAAATTTCAGCATTCCAACATTTCCTGTCTGTGCATAATTATAAGCAACATTTGCATTTTTATATTGCCCCCACCTTTTCCTACACATATATATCATTCCATCAACATAAACAATACTTTAGTCCAGTGAAGTCCTAAAGGATAAAACACGTCACACAATTTTTTTTCCCAATTAGCACTGTGTGTGTATGTGTGTATATATATATATATATATATATATATATATATATATATATATATATATATATACCATTTTTTTTCAAGCCATATAATACAGCAAAAGCCATTCATGTTCAATGACTGTAAGCCCCATATAACACAGCATATATGAGGTACCCAACACTTTCTTTAGTCTCAAAAATTACAGTCAAAATCTGTTTGTAATTTGGAACCAATGTGCTGCCACACAAGCTGAGTGAGATACACACAGCATCTTGTGTTTTTTTTGTTAAGAAATCTTGACTGTATTTTATCAGTATTAACATTACTGATGACCCACCCAGCATATATTTGTGATGTATATTGAGTTCCAAGTAAATGCTTATAATTGGCTTTATTTTGGAATTAATAGCTTTTTAATTTCTACCTGGTGTAGGGGAGGGCATTATCTGTAAATCAATCAGATTTTTTCTATGAAAATAACAAGAAAGTTTTTTTTTTTTTTTTTTTTTTTGAAGTAGGATAGAAACATTGTAAAAAGGCTAATGCTACAAAGAAGTAGAGAAAGTCAATATTCTTTCCTGTCTTTAAAAAACTGACCTAAATATCTGGAAGTTAAGATATTGGCTATTTTTAAGATCAAAAATGCTTATCTAAACTTTTTGACACCATTCCTTAAGTTTTTTGTTTTCTGTTAATAGTGTAATATACGGAATTTTTTTTTTTTAATTTTTTTTATAACTTAGATTCATAGTGTATCAGAATTTTTAAAGGAATCTGCATCAGTTTAATGTTGAAAATTCTACTATGTCGCTTCGTTTATTACAGGCAGTTTTGTACTGGAGAATATAGGAAAGATGGAGTGCCCATTGGTTACAAAGGATCCACATTCCACAGGTTAGTAAAGGAATTTTTATTTGAAAGACTGTATAATAAACTGTTATCACTTTATAAAAAAATTAAAAGAAAGACATTTTTTTAATATAGTGATTATTAATGAATATTGATTAGTCTTACTTGATGTGATCAACTTCTTTTTAATCTTTTTAGAGTGATAAAAGACTTCATGGTGCAAGGAGGAGATTTTGTAAATGTAAGTTATGTTACCTTTTTCATTTCAGTCTTATGACAAATTATATATTTTCTTTTTGTTTTGTCATTAATAAGAATTTCCTTTTTTCGGTAAAAGTTTTCAATAATGTAAATAGTGTTCAGTCAAATTCTCTTTTTTAAATTTTTATAATTTTCTGTATGTAAAAATTAATTTTTGAAAGACAAAATAAAAATGTCCGTTTCGTATAATTCAAAGTCAAATCAGCACCATATCTTTTAAGTATTGTTTCAATGCAACTAAGGGTACAATTGTATATTTTATATAATTTTAAAATGTCTGTTTTCTCTCTCTTCTTTTTTTTTTTTTTTTTTTAAAAGGATTATTGAAGTTTTGTACCACCTATAATGTTTAAAATTACAATACTGAACATTGATTTAATATTATTTACATTATTCCGACTATTGTCCTCATCCTTGTCACCATATTTATTACGTTTCAGCCGTTGTACGCTCCGGCCTTCTTCAGGTGGTTGGAATGTCAAACTAAACCCTTTATTTCACTCACTGGGGTAGACTGTTCTAGTTCCATGATGGATGTCAGTTATCTCCTGTTAATTTCCCTCTGAAAGTTCTCCACTGACTTAACCAGGTATTGAACTCACTCTCTTAGGATTTAATTAATGCCTTTATCCACTGTGTGGATAAAGGCATTTCTGGGTATTATAAATCTGTCTTCAGCAACCGTTTTTTACCAGTGCTCATATTGCAATTTTTGCTGTTATCATTTATGTTTATACCAGAGCTCATATTGCAATTTTTGTTGTTGTTATTGCTTTTCTCTGGCACTCCTCATTACTGGTTCCCATATTGTATTCATTTCTATGCTTGGTCGTCTCAGGAGATTTTTGGGGCCTAGCATATGTGCCGATTCCTTAAGTTTAGGAATTTTCCAATGGTGTTCTTTGTCCTTGATCTCAACCTGATCCCACAGAGGGCGGTGATCTCCCTTCTCTCTCCATATGTGGTCAGCCACGCGTGATTTTTCCACTTCCCCTCGTGTTACAGCTTTCTGGTGTTCTTGAAGCCTTACCTTAAGGGGGTGGCCTGTCTCCCCTTTATATTTCTTTCTGCAGCTGCATGGGATAGCATACACACGTACTCAGGAGAGATATCTACAAAGTGTCGTCAAGCTTTTGATGTTATATGGACCACAGATCCTTTGTATTTTCTCTGATAATCCCTTCACATATGGCAGGCAGACCATTTTCTGAGTTTTTTTTCCTCCTCATGTACCCGCCTATCCCAGTTTTTGGGGCTGCTGCCATGTACTCTGGGTAGTTGTTACATTATAGGGTACTACTTATACTGACCAATTCTTTATGTAATGTCTCTGGGTCGCCACTTACGACTTTTGCTCAGTGTTGTAAGCAGCGCATTGTCCCTCTTCTTTATGCTGTATGGATGGTAAGAGTTGAAATTCAGGTACAGTCTGGTGAATATTCAACATTCTAACCACCTGAAGAAGGCCGGAGCGTACAAAGGCCGAAAGGTTGAAATAAATATGGCAACAAAGATGAGGACAATAGTCCAAATAATGTAAATAATCTACATAATACCTCATCTCAGAAATATAGACAGATACTGAAGGATCGGTACAGACCTGATATACCAAAAATATGGAGACAAATTGAAAAATCCTACCAGAAACTGGCATGAATATCGAACCATCTGACATACACGGATGCAGAGACCTACATCTCATCCCTTCAGGTTTGGCACCAAGACTTCCCGTCAATTCTAGGAGAGCTCCTCTGGTCACAGAAAAAGCGGGAAACACCCTTGTCCAAGAGAGAATCCAGTACAATCATCGGATAAAACAGAGTCAACAAGCTCATATCTCCCAGAGGCTCAAGGATTTCTCCAACAGAATCACTAATGAAGCAGATCAGAGAAGGATCCAAAATGACCTGGATAAATCCTTCAGACATGAATTCAATGTAGTCAAGGCTCACCAAGTACAAAAATTAAATAGATCGAAAGATCAGAAGGTGACACACAAGGTCCATCACCCACCAGTGAAATCAGTAGTCAACATCAGCCAATATCAGCTGAGTGCCTCTGAAGAGTCCGTATTGAATAAGGGTCTCAACTTTGACACAACCATCAGGTGAGTGCCATACTTGGACATCATTGCCAGTCAAGGAGGTGGCCTTGAGCATCCCTCAGGCTCAGGCAGATGAGCTGAGATGGAAGGTGAGACAAACCTTGGAGAAGGCCAACCCGCCCAAGTCTAACATAACAAAACTTGAGAGGTTGGTGATCAGATCCCTACAGAGGAACAAAAACATCATCATACTACGGGCTAAAAAAGGCAATGCAACTGTAGTGATGGACAAATCAGATTATACAAGAAAGCTGGAAGACCTCATTAGCAATGGTAGCTACAGCAAAGTAAAAAAAGGATCCTACAATGAAAACGGAATTCAAACTGTCACAGATACTAATCAAGAACAAGGATAACTTCATGCATGATGTATAGGCAGTTATCACAGTGTTACACCAAGCTACCTCACGTATACCTCCCTAAGATTCACAAAGACTTTATTCCGCTCAGGCCGATTGTTAGTTGCCAAGGCTCTGTGTGCCACCCTCTGAGTTGCTTCCTTGTAGATATAATTGACGCATTGATTGGAAAGTGTCCTTCATATGTCTGAAACTTCGCCCACTTTGTGGGAATAATCAAATATGCTCCCATCCTATCCAACCAGATGGTCAACTTGGACGTGGTGAGTTTGTTCACCAAGGTACTCACTCTCAGTAGTCAGAGACAGATTGGCCTCTGACTCATTTCCTAGAAGAATGGACCAATATTCCAATAGATAATTTAATGGAGATGTTGACATTCTCTACACAAACAACACACTTTGGAATGAGATCACACATATATCGGCAGGATGAGGGCTTAGCAATGGCAAATATATACATGGAATACTTTGAGGAAATGGCATTAGAATCTATATCTCTAAAGCCAACTACATGGTTAAGGTACATAGATGGCACCTTCATAATCTGGCCACACCAGGAAGATGTTTAGGTTCTACTGGACCATGTGGACTCAATAAGACCTTTGATACAATGGAGAAAGAGAGTAACAACACACTCCCATTCCTGGATGTTCTAATATCTCGAACAGAGCATAGGTTCAAGATATCCGTATACTGTAAACCGACATTCACTGGACAGTGCCTAAATTTCAACTCCCACATCTATACAGCATAAAGAAAGGGATCGTCTGCTGCTTACAACACTGAGCAAAAGTCATAAGTGGCGAGCCAGAGACATTAGATGAAGAATTGGTCAGTATAAATAGTACCCTACAACGTAACAACTACCCTGGGTACTTTGCAGCAGCCCCAAAAAACTGGGATAGGCAGTTGCAAGAGGAGGAAAACAACACTCGGAAAACATTCTGTTTGCCTTATGTGAAGGGGTTATCAGAGAAAATACAAAGGATCTGCGGTCCATATAACATCAGGAAAACCTTCGAAAGCTTGACGACACTTTGCAAATATCTCTCCCAAGTAAGACCCCCCCCATAGAGGGGAACATGACTAAAGACTGTGTGTACGCTATCCTGTGCAGCTGCAGAAAGAAATATAATGGGGAGACAGGACACCCTTTTAAGGCTTCAAGAACACCAGAAAGCTGTAACACGAAGTGGAAAAATCAGGCGTGGCTGGCCACATATGGAGAGAGAAGGGAGATCACCGCCCTCTGTGGGGTCATGTTGAGATCATAGATAAAGAACACCATTGGAAAATTCAAAACTTCAAGGAATCAGCACATATGCTAGGCCACAAAAATCTCCTGAGCTGACCAAGCATAGAAATGAATACAATATAGGAACCAGTAATAAGGAGTGCCAGAGAAAAGCGATAACAACAACAAAAATTGTAATATGAGCACTGGTAAAAAACGATTGCTGATGACATTAGGTTTATAATACCCAGAAATTCATACACAGGTGTCCTCAAGGACACATGGCACAGTGGATAAAGGTGTTAGTTAGATCCAAAGAGTGGGAGTTCAATACCTGGTTAAGTCAGTGGAGAACTTTCAGAGGGAAATTAACAGGAGATAACTGACATCCATTAAACATGTGGAACTTGAACTTGAACAGTCTATGAAATATAGGGTTCATTTTGACATTCCAACCAGAATGGTGCATACAACAGCTGAAACATTGTAATAAGATGAGGACAGTAGTCTGAATAATGTACATAATACCTCATCTCAGAAATATAGACAGATATTGATTTAATACTTTTACAAGCTATGTAGGAATAAAAAAATATTACTTCTCTTAATGCTACAAATTTAAAGTAGATATTGTTTAACTTTATATAGATTTTATTATGCAAGTCATTGTTTTCACAATACAGTTGATATTAGCCAACAGAATTTGATAAAACTAAGGATATTTGATGGTGTAAGAGTTTATTATTCAACTGAAGTGTTCATCATATTTAAAATAAATATATATAATATTATAGTTGATATTGATATTTTTTTTATTTACAAATATATAAAGATTGCAAATGGTCATAAAAAAAGAAATAAAATATTGTCAAGTGATGGGAACAGAGATGAAAGAAAATAAGAAATCAAATGAAATATTTCTAAGAAGAATAAAAAAGGCAGCTTTAAAGATGTGGAAAAAAGTTTTCAGAAAAAATAAGTTAAAAAAGCTCATTGATGAAAGAAATATTAGAAGCTGACACTACAAATATAAACAGAAAAGACGAAGAACATTGGCTAAAAGCATGAAAGCCAACAAATTACCACCTTAAGTAAATATTACAAATAGAAATGTATATTGTAAAAAGAATTACATGAAAACTGATTTCTCAACAGAATTTCTTTTTTAGTGATTAATTTAGAGCTACATTGGATGGATCTGATTGGATAGTCAAACAACATAGAATACAGCAAGGGAAGGAGGAGATGATGTAATGTTTTAGGATAGTAGTGAAGTTAATAAAATAATAGGTTCCTTCAAAATTGATTATAGTGTCAAAATAAATTAAGTTTTATTTCAAATAGTTGGACAAGATATTTTTTGATTGGCACAGACCACAACTGAGATCATTATATTCATACAAAACAATGTTACTGCACATTCTGCACAGCTAACAATTGACCATATAACTAAAGATTTTTAAAAAATCAAATTAATGGAATGACACCCACCAGCCTCTCCAGGTATTAATCCAATAGAAAACTTGTGGACTAAAAGTGACAAAAGGTAATGGAAAACAATATTCAAACAAAAATCTCTAGGTATTAAAAAGTAATGTGAAAGTTGGGAGAGTAGAAAAATGAACAAAATCAATGGACTGATGAATATTATTGAATATTGCAGTCCATATTAACATGTAAAATAATAATTTATTCAGGTGTATAGGAGATTGTTTTAATCAAATGTGTTTTTACAGCTTCAATGTTTTAGATTTTTTAAAAAAGTGAAAGTTTACACAATTTTTTTTTTTTTTTTTTTTTTTTTTTGTATTAAGTCATGTCAGAATTCTTGTTGGATATTATTGACTAGATTCAACAATTTTGTTACCAAGAAACTATTTTAAATGTCTGATGTTAGATTACAAAAATGAAATAAAGTTAAATCCTTCATAATTTACATCTGGAAAATTTTAATGAAATATGAGCAAAACAATAAAAATTAGAATGTTTTGAATAAATTTTTCTTGTATTCTATATGTAATCATTAAAACTACATCAGCTTTGGGCAAAGTGCATCCTCTTGATTTGCTTGTAGTAATCCTCAAATGTTAAAAGGAGTTCAGCTGCAAATGTCTGTAATGGACAGAATTTAAAAAAAAAAAAAAACTAATATTATAAGGACTATTTTCTATTATGTGTCTTCAAAAATGACCAAAAACAACCTTTTTTTGTCCTGAGGCAAGTATTTTTCTTTTAGATTTAATTGATTTCTTTTCCTTGACTTTATCTAGGGAGATGGCACTGGAGTAATGAGTATATTTGGAAGCATATTTGCTGATGAGAACTTTACAGTGAAGCATACAGGTCCTGGCATGTTGTCTATGGTAAATGAATCTATGTTTATTGTAGAAATTTTCAAATCAAATTTCTTTTAAAAGAATAAAAGTGACCTCAGAAAAATGAAACTTAAATTTAAATGTTTTTTTTTCTAGGCTAACAGTGGTAAAGACACTAATGGTTGTCAATTCTTCATTACTTGTGCCAAATGTGACTTTTTAGATGGTAAACATGTTGTGTTTGGTAAGTAAAATTCATCATTTACATATTTTGTGAGAATTATTATAAACTAGTAAAAAAGAAACAAAACAAAAAAACATTAAAGCAGATTGACACGAATCAAGCATTTATTTTTCAGATACGTTTTTTCTACTTCCGTAATGTGTTAATCACTTTTTCTGCCTTTCAACTTCACATCCTCAGCCTTCATTATTACTTCACATTTTTAAGCTTTCTCCTAGTTCCACTGGTTTGTGTGTAGATTTAGCCCCCCTCCTCCAATACTTTCTTTTATTAATATGTACTCCTCTTGTTCAATTGAAAGTTCTGTTGGAAACTTGAAAAATCTCTTTAATCAACTTTGGAGCAATGGTTTAGTGGTTGTTAGATTAAAGAAAATCAAATTGTTCTTACTCTTTTACAATTTGTCCAATAATTGTAAACTATCACCCCCACTCTCTCTATAGAGTAAAATATTTGGAAATTAATGTCTGTATCTCTTCCATATGCTTATCAAAATTACATTTAAAATATGTAAATTTAATGATTATTTTTGAGTGTTGCAGAAAACTTGCTCTCATGTTGAACATCTTTTTACAACAGGTCGAGTGACAGAGGGTCTCCTTGTTCTGCGAAAGATTGAAAATGTCCCAACAGGTCCCAACAACAAACCAAAATTACCTGTTGTTATTTCCCAATGTGGAGAAATGTAGAAAGAAATTTTTTTTTTTTTTGATATCATTCATTATTTCATCTCATAAAATCATTTTTGTGAAGAAAAAATATATATACAAATAAATAAGTGCAGAAAAAATCATTTCGAAAAGTTAAATCTTTTGTTTTTATTATGACCAAACCCTTTTTTTAACAATGTATACAACAGTAGAAAAGAAGAAAATTAATGCTAAAATGATCAACAGTCTGTCAGTTAATTCCCGACGATTGTACTTTGTGAGCAATTTCTTTGAAGTGTAAATGTGTCCAGACATACTCTTGAATTCTTCATGTGTTTCAGTCATTGTTTTAGAAGAGGAAGCTGAAAAATTAAAAAAAATGTTCATATTTAAGAACAAAAGTTCTAGGAAGTGTTGTAAGGTTCTTGGCCCAACTTAGCAGTGATTCCAAAATCAATTCTCATGTTTGATTATTTAGTTAAATTTTGGAAAGTCAGTCAAGCCAAAAACTTTCAGCAGTCACCCTTATAAATATACAAGAAGACAACCTCTTCAAATTGCACTTCTACAGCATTTTATTATCGTTACACTTATAAAGATAAACCTAAATTTTGGTAACTTTTTATTAAAATAAATAAGAGTGTGTGTTAAATCTGAGAAGTTTATACTAGTTTTAGCAAAAGTAAAAAAAAATATATCACTGAGATTTAAAGGTTTATTAAATTGCTATTTTCGTATTTATTGCAAGTTTTTCTATTTTGTGAGTGCATTGTGTATATCTATGGAGTACAACCTGTCAGATATATTTGGTGATAACATCTTATAAACTGTAGGCTGCTCATTTGTGGTAAATAACAAAATGTGAACTATAAAAAATGATTAATTTTATAGTCTACTTCATAGGCTTTTGCTACCATTTAAATTATGAGACTGTATTTATGAAACTAACACTTCACTTACCCAAAGTGTTAACAGTGACATCGCTTTGTTTCACCTGATTAGACATCATACGATTTAGACTCATTAGATTTTCAGTAATGCTGGAAGCAGTGTTGGCCAGTATTTCTTTGTTGTTGATTTTCCTGCCAATCAGAGAAAATGTTTTTAGAGAAGATAGTTATCTTGGATAAAAAATTATGTATTATTTGTATTATCCATTGACTGGAGGTTCTGAATATTCAGTTGAGAATTAAAGATAGGTACCTCCATGAGATTGCTAAAAAAAAAAAAAAAGTATCGCATGATGAGAAAGACACCAAACTTGACGAAAACAAAATTTTATCATCTAAATGTTTGTTATTATTAAGAGGAAAGATCAAAGCATATGGGGGTATTTTTTTTTTTTTTTTTTTAATCGCTCCTAGCACATCCGATATTTTCATTAAAAATCTTTTTTTTTTTTTTTTTTTTTGAGTCAGCAAAATTGACAGATAATTGATCATGGCACCATTTTTTTCCATTATATAAAAAAAAAATGAAAATCTCAGTTTGAAATTCTTTTAAAAATTAATTATCATTTTTTCAAAACTTATTTTAAGAAAATTAGAAATAATGTTTATTTAAAATATTTTGAACCAAGCTTAACTTAGCTTAGCTTCTGCGCTGAAAAGATGTAGTTTGAAAATAAAGCAGGTCATAAACTTTTGCGTCACTTGACAGGTGATGAATGACACATTGACGAATTACATGAGGATAATTCCTTTTACAGAAAGAGAAAAGTGAAATTATTTACATTTAAGTGAACAAATTTTTTAAGGAAAACTTTCAGCACTAATTTTTTTTTTTGTACTTAGCTTTCACTTTTACGATGCTTTATGGAAAATATAAAGAAATTAAAACAAAACTGTTAAGAATGAGATTAAATTTCATAAGGTATCTAATTAATATATAGGTACCTTTCTTATGAAGTTTTATCAGAAGTGTACATAAAATACTATAATTTTATGTACATTTACTACATTTTACTATGTTATTGGTATTTCCATTCATTTTATTATTAATTTTGATATTTCATTTATGGAAAAAATGCCATAACTGAGATTAAAATTAAAAATAAGATCATGTAAATTTCTTAAGATGATACTGATACTTGTAGGTACCCTTCTCAGTTGAAATTGAAAAATCAAATTAACTTCTCCACATGTGTTTCGCAAAAGTAAAAGCTTTAACCGGAGAACAATGCTTAACTCAAATAACACAACTTAATTGTATTCTGGTTGGTCTTCCGTACTTTATTACAGCCCGATTATAAACACAAAATTACATTTCTTAATTACTGTGGGTCTTCTGATTAGTCAAAATGATACAATTTACAAAGCGCTAAAAAAAAAGATCTATCTCATAAGGACACTTATGAAAATGGATGCGGCTTGTAACTAATTTTATATTTTAACAACTTAAATGTAAAAATCTATTATAATTAAAAAAATAACAAATAATTGTATTAAAAATTCATTTTTCATTGAAAAAATCTTTTGCTTTCAAAAAAACATTGTCCATATTCATAAAAACAACAAATAAAAGCATTTGAAATTAAATAATATATTTGTTTTATTGAGTGTTACAATTCAGAGCTGATTTTCAGATGGAGGGGGGGGGTCCAATTAAAAACGAAAAAAAACATGATTTGCATTCGTCAAAGCCTCGTGCTTTTTAACTATTGTAATTACTAAAGTGGACTCAATTGAATTTCTAGAGTTTTCATAAAATTAGTTGGGGGGGTAATAAATATAAAAAAAATATTTCTGCCATGACTTTAATAAAAAAAGAAAAACATATTTATAATAATTTCGATCATCTGTGAATGGTCTCTAAAAGTTTCATTATTTTTTATTTTTGAATGAAAATTCAGAATGTTCTAAAAAGGAAAAATTTAAAAAAAATAATTAAAGTAAACTTTGATCTTTCCTCTTAATAACAAACATTTAGACGCTAAAATTTTCTTTTCGTCACGTTTGGCATCTTTTTCATCATGCTATGCTCTTTTTAGCGAACTTGTGGCGGTACCTAATTAAAGATATATACAAATTTGTGTATTTTTTTCAACTTCCTTAAACTCTGAATTCATATGCAAATTTATTTTTCTCTTTCATATATTTTTACATTCCAGAAGTTAAATGTTTTCATTTCTTTAAAAGAAAAAATTATTTAAAACAAAAATATTATCTAAGAAGAATTTACATGTGAATGTGCATCAGTTTTCTTGTAAAAGTATGAAAAATTGGAAGCAGCATAGAGAATCTTATTTTCCTTTTGAAGGGGAAAAATGCTAAATGATCATTCCCAGCTTCACTGCATCCACATTCAATCTTCCATACATTTATAGCTGAAACTTTGTGAGCATTAAATGTTTAATTTTGCTTTAAAATATTGACTCTCTTTGAATCTAACAAATAGAAATATTCTTCACTGTCATACTGAGCATATCTTCAAGCTTTGCCAAAGTCTCTCAAAGTAACATTAGCAGTATTCATTAAGAAATACTATAAATATTTATCAAATCCTTGATAAGCCAAATAATACAAACCTTTGCCTTACATCTTTACTTCCAGAAAAAAATTCTTCTCTTAACCTTCTGTCAAAAGTCATTTGAGCTATAAGCTTTGCTTTCCTCAGGGCATTGACAGTGCTAAAACAAGAAATCCATATAGACACATTAAATAACAGTACAAATTGAAATCATTAAGTTTACTCCTTGAGAGCTCAATAAGTGATATGATTGTAATAACACATTCCGCACTAATGTTTTTTTTTTTCTTTGACTTGAATGGACCAAGAATAAAAAATTGAGAATCTCCAGACTAAATAATATTTCTGGAAAGTCGGTATTAGTCACAGAAATGTGTAGAGGACAAAACAGAAATTTCAAAAACTCAATTGATAAAATAATGAAATTATAATTTAATATTTTTTGGTGCTGAACATGTTAAGAAACATAATTCTTGTGTTGATTTTTTTTTTCAAACTAAATTCTAAGAATTTAGCAACAATACTCAGTCAATCTAACAAAAACATTTTAATAGTTAGCATCATTTCAATCATTTGTCTCACTTGGGAAATTGTATCATTATACTTGAACGGCTGCTAATATTATGCACACAGATTTTATTATGTAAGTCAATGATTTCACAATAAACTTTGTATTAACCAATTAATGTTGGTCAAGTTTTCAGGATATATGATCAATATGACCCATGCCCTAGCCCAACCATTAAGTCCATTCAATGTAGTTCTACATTCACCACTAAAAATTACTGTACTATGGTCAAATTAGACATTTATCTTTTTTGCTGTTTACTATTACAGATAATACAAAATATTTTCTTACGGGTCAATCCAATTTTCTCATTTGTAATTTTTCTCGCATCTCTTTTTGTGTCATTCTTAAAGCTAATTTTCTTTCTTGTTCTTTCTATGGCCATTAGATGTAAAAATTTGCTTTTTAATATAGAGACAAAAACAACCACACAGACATGTAAAGATTAACAATGATAATAAAGAAGTAAATTACTGGGTTTTGAATTGCTGGAATTGATAATATGTTATGAGGCACAAGATATCCAAATTAAAATTTGATAAGGATAAACATGGTTTCTGACTTCAGAAGACAATAAAATTCTGTAGCTGTAACTGAGGATATCTTATATACAAGGCAAAGATATATAGGAGAATGGCTAAGTCATTCTACCTGATGAGAACTTTAAAGGGTACAAATTAAGGGAAATTCTTATAAGGTACTGAAACTTCAAAATTACTATAGAAAAATGACAATTATGGATGACAGCTATCAAGCAGGACTTTTCAAAATATTTCTTGTTCTATTTTTGGATACAAATGATTAAAAAAAAGGGGTAAAAACAAATTGGCATTTTAAAACTTTAGTTTGTACAGGCTCTTCAAAGCACTTGAAATTCTAGTTTCTGCTGGTAAACACTTAAAAAAAAAAATTATCCCCCCAACAAAAAGGGTATAAATAAATTTTGGTAAGTCTTATTTGAACTTACATTAACAAACTTTGCTGATGTTCATTCACATTCTTCTGAATGATTTGTCTGTTTGCTTCTCTTGCTTCTTCTTTGCTCAACTGATCAAGCTCCTGTCACATAAAAATACAAAATCATTTGTAAAATGCATACAATAAGAATATAAAAGATTTTGTATAGAAAGAATATTGACATTGACTGGATGTCATACAATACTTATGTAACATTCAACAATAATATAGAACATTAAGAAATGAGGCAAAGAATATAGCATGTTAAAAAGAAGGCAGAAAAGTGGGTTAAAAAAAAAAAAAAAAGATACTTGCTTTAATTTTAATTCTTAGTTTAGCCAAACGGTCATCTGCTTGATGGGAAAGATCTTCTAAGGAGGATGCCAAATAAATGCCATCTTGAAGGGTCTTTAAAATTTAAAATGCTTCAAGTTACAAAACAAATTAAAAAAGAAATGTATATATTTTTACATTATAGAAAACAAACTTTACATTTCTCTGGTGTTACTACATAGACAATTTCCAAAGAAATTACACCTTTTTAAAAGAAAATATGAGAGGATTTTTTTCTTCACTTAACATTTTAACTGCTTCATTGTTATAGCATTGGGGAAAAATAGAAGATTGCCATTTACTAAAAATAAATGACTATAAAGAAGTTAACAATTTCTCATGAGCACTGCCATCCTGTTTCAATAGAATACTTTGCAATGCAGACTAAGGTAAACAACACCCCAAGTATATTATAATAACAATATGTCACAGAACAGTTCATATAAGTACATCTTGAACACACACTATATATATATATATATATATATATATATATATATAAGGTACCTCCACAAAAAAACAATACTTAAGGTTTAAAGTGAATTTTAAAAAATTAAAAATCTTCCTTGAAGCTTTTATTTTAGTTTTAATTTCAAGCTAGTAGGTTAAATTCAATATTTCCAATAAGCAAATTACTTTGCTGTGTTTCAAAAACTAATTCAAATGGAGAGGAAGGAGTTTGTTTTTTGCTAAAATAGCTGATTAGCATCTTTTTTTTTTTTTTTAAGTCATCTTTCATCACAATGTAATTTTCTATATTAAAAAAAATCTTCCAAAAACAAAATGTACTTTTCTGAAACTTTATATGAGGAATATTAGCTGGTTTAAAATATAATTAATTTGATTGTCATATAGGAATAAAGTGTCACTGCTGACACTTGGGTTTGAATATGGACTGCCAGAGAGCAAGCGCAGTCGACCTCATCTTGAAATAAGTAGATCATGTGACAGGTAAAGTAAAAATATATGTGTGTCTGTGTATATATATATATATATATATATATATGGGAATTAACAGCATCTGACCGAGTATTGTTCAAAGGTATTACTATTGTTGTATCTGTGATTTACAAAGTCACTCCTACAAATGGGCATTACAAAACTGATTTAAAACAATTATTTACTTTAAATTTAAAGTATTACAGAAACACATTTTTTTTAGCCCAACAGTAGTTGTTTTGATGTGTTGAGAGCCTGATCACAGGTTTAATGTTTCTCTATTGATACTTTATCTGTAAAACATAATTTAAGAAAATAACATGAGCACTTTTTTATATAAATTTTAAGTACACAGTTATCTTAAAAATTTTGGAAAATATTCTCTGTAATCTAATTTTAGGAAGGTTGACTTTAAATTTACTATAGTCATAGCTCATATTTTCTGATAATACTGTGCATGGTCACCTGTACTTATAAAAATGGGCATGTTTATACACTAAAATAAAAATTTAAAAATCTTGGTGTATGATGATTTGTATTAAGTCTTTCCATTTATGATTAGTAAATAAAGTTTTCACTTAATAATATCATCTAAAATGTAGAAATTAATAAAGAATTTTTTAAAATTTAAAACTTTATAAATTATAATAATGAAAAAAAAAATGAAAACAATTCTAGTAAAAATTCATTATTCAGGGAAACATTTTTTTCTTATGACAATATTAATGACCTTAATATATTTTATTTATAAAAGCAATTAAAAGCTTTTCTAATAATGTCATAGTTTTATTGCATTTTTTATTTTACAATTTGGAACAGATTTTCAGTGAGTAACTGTTTGAAAAAGAAAATTGATGATCGACATTCACCAAGGAGTCCAGCTTTTAACTAATATAAAAAAATAAGCAAATCAAAATTTAATTTCTCAAAATTTCATATAATTAAATTAAGTGGAGGTAACAGATGTAAAAAAAAAAAATTTTTTTTATCAAGATTTTCTAAAAAATTTATTTAAAAAAATAATTTCATTCATTTGTGAATAAGTCCTGAAAAATTTCATTAAAATCTGACAATTATTTAATTTTTGCAAGAATTTCCAAACAATGTGGTTTTTTGTTTTTTTTTGCCACAAAGAATATGCTAAATTTTCCATAGTAATCTTTAGCCCACCGCTAATACAAGAAAAGAATTTTAACCAAAATTTTGAATATGCTATTAAGGATTAAAAATATTTAATAAAATAATTAAAAAAATACTTTGGCGTCTCATAATAACAAACATCTTGACAATAAAAATTTGTTTTCATCATGTTGGGGCTTTTTTCAACATACTATGCTCTTTTTTTAGCAAAAAAGTGGAGGTACCTTATATTACATACATGTCAACAACAGGCAATGTAACTTTCAGAAAGTTATAAATATGTCCAAAGCAGTGGAAGTGTTAACCAAAGATTTTAACTTCATTTTATATTTTATTCATAGTAATATTCTTCAACTCACTCACACAGCTTAGCGTAACAGATATGGACTGTTTGAGATTTTATTTAGAATCAAAAGGACCTTTAAATATTTTAAAGGTGCAAGAGAAAAAAAAAAACACTGTTTTATATAATAGTTTCTTAAATAATTATCAATGAACTTGACAGTAAGTTTTTGTTTATAAACATGGTTGCTACTTGACTCTACAAGTGTTACATATAATCTGTATTAATGGACTTTTCTTTAATCTGCTATAAAGCAATATTCTAATAGAAAGTTATCAGGCTTGTAATTTTACTATGGTATACTTAGGTCCAGCAATAGTTTTATAGCTAAATGAAGTAAAAAAAAAAAAAACATTTATCTTATACAACAAATATTTATTTTTCAATATAATCTCCTTCCTTGTCAATGTATATATAACCCTTAAGTGGCAGGAAAATGTAGCATACTAAATGGGTAAAAACAAGAAATTTCATTTTTTAAAAGATAGTCTTATGTTTATTTTCATTTAATACTCCTTGAATAATTCCATGCACAAGAAAGTTGTACATTCTTTGCACCAAGTTGTCACCATATTTCTCCTCTGTTCTCTTTTGGAAAATATGTATGCAGACATATCAGTGTTTGGCTTGTTCTTCCAGTTTTATTTGCAGGCAAATACTCCAGGAAATAATGTAACATCATGAATCCTAGTGTTGCCAATTATTCATTTAGACTTGAATCATGAATGAATGATAACTGTATCACTGGAAAAGGTCTATATCATCAATTGATGATTCCCACCATTTAAGGGTTAATTATTTGGATTGAACATTATACAGTGAAAATTTCAGATAAAAATTCATATAATAACTGTGTCCAGGCTAAAGACTTATTAATATACCCTTGTACTTGTTTTGGTTTTTTTAATTTTTTGGCTTCTTGCTTTTTTTACTGAACTTAACATGCACCAACAAATTAACAGAACAATTTCAATTACTGAATGAAAGATTGTGAATATCAGTTTCAAGATGAAGAAATAACAAACAGATAAATTGTTTACACAATAAGCTTACAACTTTGTTTGAGGCATCATCAGACAAACTTTGATTTCCACATTCTCGAATATCCTGAAATAAAAAGAAAAGAAGACAGTAAATTTAAAGCCCTTTTGTTTTTATTTCAGAAATAAAGGGCGGTAATAGGAAGAAAAATGTTTCAACTTGTTTTACTTGGAAATCATTATCATATTTGTTACAATTTCTTTCTTTTCAAGTCCCATAAACATTAAATAAAATTAGATATATACTGAAAAGAAAATGTAATATCTATCAATTAGATCTTTGCAAAGATTTTTATATATCATTAACATTGTTTGGTATGCAATATTATCTACAACTTTCAGAAGACTCGTTAACATTCAAACTTTTTTTTTTTTTGAACAGTTTCATTTTTACTTACAGACAATACACCTGAGCAAACTCACAGAATTAACTGTCAGAAACCTATTAGCATGTTCAAAATTGTCAGGAAAAATAAGTTGTAATTATAGCAGACCTATATCTATGTTTTATAGTCTGCACAAAATTATTTGATAAGGTACTACATAAAGATTTATTTAAACTTCTAGGAAAACTCGATTTATTTAGGAAATATATTAGAATGATCTTGAACCTACAGATAGAAAATGAATTGAGCAAATATACAAAAATAGATGCGCAAGGCAAGAACACTTCCCACTAGATTTATTTAACCTATACAATGAAATGATTCTAAGTGAACTAAAAGTTCTGCCAGACACAATATTAAGAACATAAGATACACAGATGACACCATGTTGATGGCAGACTCCTAACAGCTATAGAAATTTCTAGCCAAAGTAGTAAAGGAAAACAAGAAAAGACTAACCATTGACTGTAAGAAGACAAAATGCCCATGCATTGTTAGCAAGAGGGACAGCACAAATGTGGGCTATGAATTGAAGACATTAGAATCAAGCAATCACAGAAATATAACTCTTGAAGTGTTTAAACAGACAACGAAAAATGTGAGACAGAAATCCAAAGGCACATTAGAATAGTGAAAGAAGCCTTCTGAAAGCTAAACAAAGTATTAAGAGATAGGAAATGTTTGTTAGAAACAAAGAAAAGAATTCTGAACTTCTGTGTAATATCACTCCTATATTGCAGTGAATGCTTGATAATTCCCTCGAGACAACAAAGATGTAGTTATACAGAAGGATGCTAAGAATACCATAGATGGATTGGAACATCTGAGCAATAAGAAAGTTTTTAAAGAAAATGGGAACAAAAAGGACAATTGTAATTCAAATCAGAAAGAGACAGTTGAAAATTCTTGGACATATAATGAGGAAAGAGAGCTTAGAGAATTTGACACTCACAAGACAATAATAGCAAGAGAGATGGAAGGAAACTTTTAGTAACCTACTTAACAAGCTTGTATAAGTGGATGGCAGGACAGGGGCTGGGAGTAATAGTAAGGGGATAAACATTACTTAGAACTACAAAGAATAGGAAGTTGTGAAGAGCCATGATTACCCATGTCCTGAAGAGATATAGCACATATAGACTATTCTTATTTTCAAAATACATACTTAAATCAATAATAAATACAAGTACAAATTTTAGACACAAATGCAAATTAAACTGACTGGTCAATCTTCTTGGACTAGCATTACAAATTTATTTAAATTTCCACTTTATTCTTTTGATGCAATTCAAAAGAAATGTTTTAAATCCATAGTGAATAATGGTTTCAACTTAAGAAAAATATTAATACAGCCTAAGGTTAAGCAGAAAAAAAAGAAAGAGATAACTCAACAATTTCAAAAATAAAAGGGTGATATTAAACTGAAATATGGTAAATTCCAACATAAAGACTGAAAGATACTAAAATGTAACATTCAACTACATAAATATTAAATTTCAATATTTGATCACAAAGATCTGTTAGTTCAACATTCTATGTACCTCCATGCACTTTTTAACAAAAATAAATATTATATACATTATCAAAAATGGGGAAAATTTTAAAACCACAACACACAAATCTTAAAAACTGATAATTTTGAACATGTTTGTTTGGAATGAACACACAAGCAGAACAAGCCTTCCTTCATGATACAAGACAAATCACTCACCCCAATAATAACAACATATCAACCTCCAAATTGCTGTACAAATTTCAATGACTTTTTTTTACAGACACTTTATTCTCTATCAAGGACTTTTATAACTTCACCTACTACACTACAGTTAGTGTCCACTTTTTTATGAACATTTTTGTCCATTTCTTTAGGCACTCAAAAGAATATTTTTAACAACTTCTACACACCCTTCTTTGCACATTTAAGTAAACAATTTCTGTTTTGGTTTCACACTGAATAAATATCCTTTTTTTATTGCATGCTTAAAACTAAAAATGATAATCGATAAGTTTTTTGGCATATGTCAAAATCCCCACCCAGATTTTAAAACTCTACCAAAAATTTGCTAATTATCTGATTTCAATAATTTATTCAATATTTATTTATGAAAAGATACTCATACTGTAATAAAAGTTTTCAGAAATAATTTCACAAAGTCAATCAAAATTCAAACCCCTTTAAAAAAATCACAAATTATCTTTTTAAACTTATAACTTCAGAACAAAATAACAAATAAGTTTTAAGACCGAAATAAAAAAAAAAAAGCTATGAAGAAAATGTCTCATGATTTAAGTCTTCTTCACTTCACTCTTCCTTCAGTGACTTTTTTTACATTAGAATTTTCTTTAATCCTTGGACAGTTTGTCACACATACACAAAAACAGTTATTGAATGATTAGTTTTTTTTGGTTTTTTTTTTTTACTGAATATTCTAATTTACAACTAAAATTTAAAAAAAAAATGTGCATTACACTTTTCTTCAGGGTAAGCTTTCTGCAAACTCAAAGCAACTACAAAAAAAATGACTGTCTGAATTTCTGGGATGAGAAGTTATCGTTATTCTCATTATTTACATTCAGACTTCACCTCGATGTGCTGTTCAGTCTTCCTCAGTTTTCTATCGATCTTGTTAACATCCAGAGTAGCATTGGTTCGTGAATTTTTTTTTTTTAGTGACATAGTAATTGCGAATTCAATTACTGGCCCGGGGAATACAGACTGTGGAAACAAGACTAAACAATGACTGAGCAGTACTAAAAAAGAAACAAGACATCACTGAAGAGCTGAACGAAAACAATATCTACCAACGTAGAAAGGGTTCAGTACGAAATTACCTGATTAGCCGGCCGGATCGACAGACACATGAAACATGCTGGAGAATAATAGCCGAAACGTTAGTCCAAATGAAAGTAATATAAATAAGAAATAAATGCGTTTAAAAATCTAAAAAAAAAAAGTCAGCAGACGAACGTAAAACTATTTTGAAATTGATGCAGGACGCTTCTTACACCATAAACAATAAACTACTAAAAGAAAAGAACCACTGAAAAAGTTTATAGATCAGGAAATAATAATTTGTCATTTGATTTCATTAGAAAGTCCGTGTAAATAAAGAATAAAGATGCCATATTGCTAAAACATTTATTTTTAAAGCAGAAAGAGAACTACATCGAAAAAAATTCTAACAAAAGCAGAAAAAACACAAATTAAACAAGTAATAAATCACTTAATTCTGGCGGCTTTCGTCAATTTGAAAAAAAAAAAATATAAGAAAATGAAAATACTAGTTCTTAAAACGAGTCAGAGTAGTAAATACGCTTTTTCCAAGTTAATAATAATAAGTGGTAAAACTGTTTTTTATTCGTTTAAGTAACTTTTTATGTGATATTGAATAAGACAAAAAGACAATTCGTTTCATGTAAAAAAGTAAAACGTCATCAAAAGGAAACATTATACAAAAAAACTGTTTTGGCAACAAAAAAAAAGTGAGAAATAATATAAAATGTTTTAAAAATAATAGAGGTAAATTAAAATGCATTCAAAATATAGAACAAGCCTACTTGAATGAGTGCCTGAACTTCCAAATCTAGTTTAACAATTTCTTGCAAACATAACTTCACGTGAATATCTTCTGCTTCCATATTGAACCGGTGTTAACTGTATATTGACCAACATAACACAAGGACCTTCTTTGAATAAATAAAAATGTAAGGTAGTTAAAATAAACAAATAGATTCAGCAAACAAATTATTACTTGGAAAGTAAAAACCTCATGAGAAGAATGGCACTGATCATAATATTTCAGTATAAATCACCATCAAAATAAACGTTTATAATTTTTGTAAATATTGCTACTAGTTATTTTTTTTTATTTTGACTAACATATTTGTTCTTTAAAAATACTTATTTTTGGTGTTAATTTGCAGTTTACCACCCGCGCTCAGATAGCATTAAAAATTTCCAGAATACTTACATTTATGTGTAATTGTACATGCTTCATTCGAATCTGGCTTGATAAATTTGATATGTGATGATGATGATGATCATCATCATCACACACACACACACACACACAAATTCAAATATTCAACAGCATTCCTTCATTGGACAGGAAGCGACAATTTTAAAATCGCTATATTTTCATATAGTAGATTTTGTGCACTTTTGGGAGGATCGGCTCCCAGAAGTCTCCCCAAAACTCATGCACTGATTGGTCAGTATCGACCAATCAGATTCTCTGCATGTGGAGAATGATTTTTTTTTCTTCCTCTTTTTTCCTTCAGGCCTCGTACCAAATTCCACCTCGCGTGGAGGTGAGGTAAATTTCTCTCTTTCGTCTCTATTCTTGCAACATGTAGTCCCAGAGAATTATCGTCTTGACCTTAAAGAACGTTACCATACCCACATACACATTCACATACGTACAAACTCTTGCGAATGTTCACACACACACACACACACACAATGTTAACTGTCTATGTACTTTGTAAATGTTTTGTTTAATACATATATTCGTTTATATGTATTGGTCTTGTTTGTTTGCTTTCCTTATCTTCAGTTGGACTTAATCCAAGTCCAACATTCTATTGTAGCCGGACCTCCTTATAGCAGGAAATATAAACACACAAGTTTTCTTTACATCTTCACCCCCAGTCTTCTACATTAATGGTGACCGCTGATGTGATTTTGTGAAGGAAAGCCATAGTCAACATAATGGCCCACTACAGATAATATCTACCGTTTTGAAGTTATCAACAGTAAAATTTCAGAGTCATTTGTGTCGTGGTAGCCATTACTTGTGTTGTTTGCATACATTTGCTGTTGAATAGCTATGAGTCATATTCACTTGTGATTATTAAACACACAGCGCACAATTGAGCATTTTGTACATAAATAGTTCTCCTGCGCAGTAATTGAGGCAAGATCAGTTAAAAAAAAAAAAAGCCCGTTAACTACATTCTTCCACGTTTAGATTTTCGCAGCAAATGTATGCAAACAACGCCAGTAATGACTGCTACCAACGACACAAATGACTCTGAAATTTTACTGTCGATAACTCCAAAACACTAGATTTTATCAAATTTATCAAGCCAGATTCGAATGAATCATGTACAATTACACATAGATGTAAGTATTCTAGAAATTTTTAATGCAAACTGAGCACGGGTGCTAAACTGCAAATTCACCAGTAAGTTGACAAATTTAAAAAAGACAAAACAAAAAACTTTTATTTAAAATAAACATTACTTATTTTCTTAATTAAACATTATTATTAATGAAACACAATATTCCAAGAGGAAATCAACTTAAAAAATAGAATTTAGTCAGCTTTTAACTTACAATTAAAAAGATAATACTTACAAATTATTTAAAACTTTTTTATCAAATTAGTATGTTTTAAAGTTTGATCTAACATTTATAAGAATTAAGTTACTTAAATTTTAATACTTTTCAATTAACACACTTAAAACTTAAAATTGATTTTTTTAAAAAACAGTTATGCATTATGTTATAAATCATGTGTTTATAATACATATCAGAGAAAAAAAAAGAAATTTCCTGCCTTTAAGTTCACTACTATATAAAGAAAAAAAGGCAAAGTTTAACATATCAAACGGCCTCAATTCAATCCCTGTTATTTTTACTTTCAACAAATGTGCCAAGAAACAATAAACAACACAAGAAATAATACTAAAAACAATTTTCGAATAAACAATATTTTGATTTCTATAGCATAAAAGATACAATGCATTTATGCTGAAATGAGTAAAGATTTGTGAGTGAAATCTTGATGATGTTTGTTATTTTAATTATGTGTATAAACTCTTATTTTGGTGTTTAAAGTTATGGTATGTGAGTTTACTTGAAGAAATATTTGTTGTAATTGTGGTGACGTAAGTTTCACAGAGTTAGTGAAAGAATAATTCTATTTATGAGACAATTAAACAGAGTATGTGAAATATAAATTTCCAATGTAATTTAGGAAAAAACTTAGTTGTTCTAGAGTTGTCTTTTTTTGACTGTTCTTTGTTGTCAAGAAGTAAATAAATTCTGGATGAAATAATATTCTGTAATTGAAAATTTTTGTTATGTAATAATAATGTTCTTTGGTTGAGAACTTTGCTGTGTATAAATGGAATCCAGTGTGATGTGAGTGAATTCTGAAAGTTTGTTTTTATGTTATCAAAGTAACTTTAAAACTTCAAATAGTTGAACGACAAAGATTCATTTGGCAACTTGGTTCTCACTGGCGAAGTTGATTAATTAGATGTTAATTCACTTGCAGGAATGAATGAAAGGCTGCTGTGTGAATGAAATGAGTGAGTGAATGTTCTAGAAGCTGAGATTATGTTAATAGGTAACTTTTAGCCTCAGAATGTGTGACATAGTTTTTAGTAGGCAATTGCATTGCTATCACAATGCTCACTGGCAAGATGTGCTGGTGTACCATATTTATTTACTTGTTAATCACGTGATAGGCTCGAGCATGTGTTCTCTTAATTTTGGCATTTCTCTGGTTTGAACACTTGCGCGTAGGTGTAAATATAACCTTGGTATTTATTAACCAATCAGAAAGGTTTATTGTTGTACTTTTAGCTGGAGTCTAGAATGTGTTTAGCTTGCACAAGATTTTAGAACTTGCACATAAAGATACACAAAATACACTTTTAATATTTATTGTCCAATCAGGACGTTGTTAAATAACTGCATTATGGAAATTAGGTGTGATCCACTGAAATGTAGAAATCAGATTCTACAATATATACTTGCAAAAAAGATGATGTGTCAAAAAGATGGTTTCTCTCTTGATGTTGTTATTACTGTATACTCCTTGGCAATTTTATTATTTTAAAAAGTTGTTTTTAGAATTTTAATAAAATGGAAAATGAGTTACCCAACCTGAAGGTATTTCTGACTGGTTCACACCTGCTTTGGGAATATATCTTCTTCAGAAATAGAAAGAAACTCCGGCTTACAGTCCTCAATTTTCCCTTAGTGGAATATGTCCTCACTTGAGACATAGTAGATGAATCCAGGATACTAAACATGGCTTTTCCAGAAGCACTGAAAAATCTCCATATTATATGTAAGGACATATCTTTTCATTCTCCTAAAACTCTGCTTGACATATTGCATACATGCTATAATTTCTCTGCATGGGACACACAAACACATCACACACACATACATATATACACCAGATGCCATTTTTATATTCTTATATTTTCAATTTCAAGCATATGCATTGTTTGTTTACATTATTCGGACTATTGTCCTCATCTTTTTCGTCATATTCTATCCGGCCTTCTTCAGGTGGTTGGAATGTCGAACTGAACCCTTTATTTCGCTCACTGGGGTAGACTGCTCTAGTTCCACGTACCATGTTTGATGGATGTCAGTTATCTCCTGTTAATTTCCCTCTGAAAGTTCTCCACTGCCTTAACCGGGTATTGAATTCACACTCTTTGGGTCCTGTCACTGGATCTAACCAACGCCTTTATCCACTGTGCCATGTGTCCTTGAGGACATATGGGTATGAATTTCTGGGTATTATAAACCTACCCCAGCGAAATAAAGGGTTCAGTTCAACATTCAAACCGCCTGAAGAGGGCTGGAGCGCACAACGGCCGAAACGTTGTGATAGATATGGCAAAAAAGATGAGGACAATAGTCCGAATAATGTAAATAATGTACATAATACCTCATCTCAGAAATATAGACAGGCATTGTTTGTTTTTGATTTTGTCAACTGCACAATATAGTAGGGTCACTTGGGCACCATCTGAGAAAAAGAGCACTATGATGCAATTCACTCCGCCAGAAATTTGGAAACAGCATGCTGTACTGCTTGGCATTCATGCCAGAAGCTCCATACAAACATTTCAGAGTATTTAGGTTTCAATTTGAGGACTGTGCTGAGGATTTGGAAGGTGTTGGATGAGTCTAATGGTGTTTAAAAAGGTACAGCAACTCAGAAAACTCATCTGATCATTCTGATAAGAAAATAACTCACAAATTTGTTGGTGAGTTGCCCTGAAGAGATAGTGCTGCCCTGAGTCAAGAGGGTGCCTGCTGGAAGATCCTATGTCTGGTAAGAGAACTCTGTAATATGCCACACAAGCAGGAGAACTCAGTCATGGCTGTCAAACAATTCCTGTGACCACATCAGCCCTTACATCTGGCCACTTAACTCTCCAGAGTGGATTATTATGTGTGTGGCACAGTTGAGCAAGACCAAAAAAATCCTTGTAACACCAAAGATGAACCCATAGCAAGGATTATGGCAATATTCACCAACTTAAAAAAGGAAATGTCCAAAAGAGTTGCAGAGTTATAAAGTTGTTTGGAGGCAATGGTTGAAGCCAATGGTGATTTTATTGAATAAATTTACTCTTTAGTATTTCAAGATATTTTTGTGTAATTTTGGTAAATATATGTTAATATGAGATTATTTCCATTTTTTCATAATTTAGACAACAATTTATCCATCGTAGCCTGTATACATAGTTTCATAGATGCTTTAATGATATAACAGTCTCTCTGAGAACAAAGTATGTTTGTCATTCTTTTTCCTTCCAGCCATTCTGTTCCATCCACAAAATATGGTGTTATTATATAACAGATATGATAATGCCCATAA